TTCCTGGCTTGTCCAGTCCACATGTCCGTGTCCTCGAGCAAGACACTGAAATGTCCAACTACTGTGTTGTTACACAGCACTCTGTTTCCATTGAGAATGAATGGACTGCTGTGATTAACCCAGTGCTTTGTCTCCGTATGTGCTCAGTGTTTCGCAGAGCAGCCATGCACTTTGGCCATAAGGGGGCTCACATACAGTCAAGAGCCTTTGCAGCACTCACAAGGGTGAATGATCTTTAAAAATATTCCTCTATCCAAATTATGATACAGATCAACATCAAAATTTAATCATGGCCCCATACCCCACCTCTCCTAAAATTTCATCCAAATCCACTCATTACGTTTTGACTTGTGCTGTTTAAAAACACAAACCAACAACCACCCACAAAGCATAACCCCCCACCATTGGCAGAGGTAACAATAGGCTCAGGTGTTTTAGGTTATGTTCACACTACAGGCCTTAATGCTCAATTTTTTTATTGTTTTTAGTGAGATCTGTTCTTTTGTTAATGGTTCACATTTAGGTTTGTGACATCTGTGCAGCTCCTGTGTGAACACTGAGCTCCTAAACTGCCATTCGTGCACAGATTTGAATGTGAGCTATGTGCGTAAAAATTTCCTCAAAAACTGATTGGTTATAACACGTTCCTTCCAGTTTAGCATGAACAGATGCTTCTCCATAAATGTCCAACACATTTCAAACCACCTCGTCTCTCCACTCACTCTCATCACTGCTGCTGCTCTCCTGCAGACCAGTTTATTTTTACTGGTCTGCGAATGATGACAACTGGTAACATGCACAGAGGAGTGGGATGTCAAGAAGACCACATGAGCTCTGAACGAAGTGTTCTGACAGCGGTTACATAGTCCAAGATTGGATATGAACTGGGTCTAGAAGCACACAAGTCCAGACCAAAATCTAATCTAAAAAAACAAATCTGATTTGGTTTGTTCACACATTTGTATAAGATCAGATCTGAGTCACTTGGAGGGGGAAAACAGTTGGGTTTGGGTCACTTCAATGTGAATGTAGCTTTTAGCATGTCAGGTTCTGTTTGTGTGTGCTGCCCTTTAGAGAATATTAGACAGAGATGACACAGTTTTTGATGTAATTATTTGTAAGGTTTGGTTTTGCAGTACCCCTCAGCAGTTTAACAAACTAAAGTGTGGCTTTAATAAAGCTGTGGACATGGACACGACGCAACGCTGTTTCTTTTGTAAGATATTATTGTACAAATTAGATTCAGGCTATTCCCAGCCTCTCTGTGTTTTGATGTAAGAGCCTGAGCTTGTATTACTCTTATAAGGCCTGTGTTGAGCTGCTGCGTTGCAAGTGCATGTGATCATAATGTTTTATAGATCAGCTGTGATTTTTGCTCATGATATGATGTGATACTCGGCTGCTCCTTGGCTACTGTGCAGAATCTGGTTGCACAATGACAAGATGGCAGCTGCTGTATTCACAATTTTGGCTTTACTTTAAGGAGTGAAACAGAGCAGCTAAAAGTCTGTAGGATACAGTTACAGCAGAGAACTACAGGCAGGGACAGTCTGCCTTAGGTGAGCTGTTGATCAGCTACTTGACCAATCACTCATCACTCTAATTGTTTATTGGTTTTTGTATCCATTTACTATTTCAGCTGGGATTGGCTTCAACCCCCCAAAACACAAAACTGTTATAACTGGTAGAGGACCGTTGTCTCCTACAGTTTCACCAAGTATCTTAAATGAACATGTTTTTACACCGGGGCCGTGAGCTCAGCAAGATACACAGAGGAAAGCTCAAAGCCCCTGGGACGTAATGAAGATGAACAGTTCACTTCCTGCTCTCTGCTGGACATGACCAAGTCATCCAGCCTGGCCCCAGAGGTCCTGAACAGGAAGACATCACAGTCCAGCCAAAAAGAAAGAAACAAACAAAAACCACACACCACATTTTGTCATTTGTATTTAATTATTTTTATCTCAAACTTTTGTACCTAATCGGCCTTACAATATACTCACAAATGCTGAAAGACGACTTGTCAGTGAAGCTGATGCCATGATATACTCCAGCTCATGGTTGCTGTTGTTCCCTGGCAAGTGCATGTTTGTGTTTATTAGTGTTCATAACAAGCTAGACATTTAAGGATTCAACAAGCCTTACAAAGTAGAAAATGTTGGGATGGTAGTGTCACTTGTCCGTAGCTACAGTACTACACAGTTTCCGTCAAGTCTCGTGCCACTGGGAAATACAGCATGGACCCCATAAAAGTGGGCCACACCACGGTAGCTGGCACAGATCACCGTCTGTCAGGCAAACTCACAAAAGGTGGCAGCAGACACCTACTGTATATGACCACACAGAACAAACAGCCCTCTGGTGACAGATGTCAGTCGTTCCGCAGCAACAAAAGTGATACATTAATGTGTCACACATGCTAATTCCTCCACGGCTCCCACTTCACTCTCTATTTTAGTCACCGTGTCTGTTTGTGCCACTCATTCACAGCCGCACACACAGGAGAAACAGTTGCTGGTGGCTGAGACTCGTATGTTCCACAAACACACATTGTCTAGACATAAAGGCACAACAGGCATGTGGATCTCTGTGAAGCACGAAGGGGGAGAGAGAGAGCAAAGAGATACCAGTTCTCATCCTTCAGCAGATTTGGTTTAGGTTTTGACTGACTAATGAACCTGAAGTCACTGCTCAGATTACAGCAATTAATTTTCAATCCCCATGTCTAACTGAAGCTGAATGAAGTGTAACAGGAGAGCTGTTCTTTCATTAGTCTCTGACTAATATCTTCCTGCCCAGCCTCAACATGCTGTTTGATAGTGAGAAGCTTTATTCAAGTCATAACATTGCAATGCTCTTGACAGTTTAATGGCACAGCGCAATTCTTTACACAACTACACTGTAAACTAACCGGCCTCAGTACAGAAAATTATTTTTGGAGAAAGGAGCCATTCACCTCATGTTGAGACATGAGTGGACCACCGTGGTTAGTTTTGATTTGGGAAACAGACACGTTAAAGGTGTGTTCCTATTATGACATTTACAACCTCTAGCATCACTGTGGAGCTTTTTTTTTTTTTTTTTTTTTTTAAACATGTGGGCTCCTGTTTTGTCTGTCTCAGGGACACTGCTGACAAGTAAACAGGGATGTAAACAGTCCAGGATTAATACTTTGAAATGGAGTGTTTTAAAAGAGAGGTGATGCATTCGACAGCAGACTCGGAGGAACATAAGCATTAATTTAGAGCTCTAAGCTCAGTTTTCATCTTCACATTACAAAAATAATCTGGCTCTTAAGCTGCTGAATACTTCACTATGTACACAGGCTGCTGTGTCTCTCTCTACTGCTTCTCAAGGTTGATGAGATCACTAAAACTGTTGCTGGATGCTGAACCATTCATATGAAATCTGTAGGAAAGAGTAATAAATCTTCTTCACAGTTTGGTTGTATGAAAAGACAATACCAATCCCAGTACTGGGCTTGATACTGCCCTCAGGTTCTTGTACTCATAAAAATAATCCAATACAAATGCACTTTTACCACTTTTCAGCAACAAAATGCTGCTGGTTGCTTATGCTTGGGCAGAGGAGGAGGAATTTCAGTACATGCAACAAAATCTGCCAGTATGGAGAGATTATGAGCACTTTTGTCAAGTGCGTATGAGACGGCTTGCCTGGTCCACTGCTCACCCACTGAACCCATACAGTGTTTGTTATGCTGAGTGAGAAGAAAAGACGTCTACTGAGCTATGTATGAAAATGAGTTGAGTTCTGGTGGACTTGAGACCAAGCAACTCTTCTAGCAGCAGTATCTGTCCCCCAGAGAAGCTGCTGTTCACAGCAGCACAGGAGAATGGTGCCTCCGACAGCGGTCAGCTTAACCTAAGAGCCTACTTCCTTTTTTTTAAATTGCAGTTTTAAATCTCTGACTGTGGCATTAGCTTTTGTGTTCTGGGAAATATTTCAGCCAGTTCCATTGTTATATGTAATTGGAGAGGTGGCAGTGCCATGTTTGTTTACACAGAAGGCTTTATATAAGTTTTTGGAAGTGAACAGCAGCCTCCTGCTGTACATTGTAATTCCAATAACATTAAAGAATAAAATTAAAATGGTCTCTAAAGTGATTGTATTTATATGATGCTGTAATTGTTTTTTAAATGTATCTGCTCATACTTGTTCTGAAATAAGTGATATCAGTGCATTTCTAAAAAAGGCCCAGAACGAGCTGTTGTACACTGAAATTAGACATCTTTCAACCTAAAAAAAAAAAAAAAAAAAGGCGTGCTGGAAAGTGTGCTTAAACGCTAACAATGTTCCTAATCAACATGATTTGAGGAGTAAAGTGAATGATACGCTGAACAATTAGTCATATCAGAGACTTTTGGAGGTTTTACATTGGCTTGACTTAAAATGCAGCCCTTACTGAGTTAATGGTAAGAGATTGTTTAGGTTGATTTAAGCAAATTGACCTTAGAGGAAAACTGAATGAGTTTAAAAAGAAATGCTTGTTCCACAGCAGTTTAACAACGGGCTGCGCGAAAACACAACTGTGTTTTTAACAAACTGTGCATTTATGTGAAGTCTCTGTTCTTTACTATAGATAAGTAAAATAGTCATGATGAGAGGGTAGTGACTACATGTAACCTTTTAAAGTCCACTTTGTTCCTGTGCAGTACATTTTGTTCACACTACTTCAAGTCTGCCAACATGAAAAATGGAACAGAAGCTGTGGAATATTTCCAGCTACATAGAAGTACAAAAAGTCTTGTGTTTATTTTACTTGTTGTAATCATGTAGCTTAAATAAAGAGTTGGACTACAATTAGTGTACTCTGTATACCACTCAGTCACAGTGGATTAATGGTATTCTAACATCCTTAGAGGGAAACCGGTGTCAGTACTTAATATGTGATGGTGCAGTGAGCACAGAGCACAATAAGTATGCAGTGTGTATGAAATGAAAATGGCAGGTCAGATAGCTTCTCAACTTACCTGCACTTGTCTCTTTCCTTATATCCCTTGCCTGTCTGGCAAGTTTAATTCCAAGTCCTCACCAGTTAGAATCATTCCAGATTTCCTCTGCGTTTCTGTTATTTGTTCAGTGGAACTTTTTCATATTATATTTATTTATTTTTTACCTACTGTCAGAGTCGACTCCCCGTAAAGACCATAAGAAAAATCTGCGATGATGTCTCTGCAGAAGATTTCTTTATAACATTCCCCAAGTGTCCGGTCAGGCAGCAACAACAAAAAGTTAGCCTGCTGTAGTTTCACTCATCTGCAGCAGGACTGTTTCACCCTTTTTAAGTGATGAATCCTAAGCTGAGCCCTCACGTCTGCTCCTCAGATCTGTTGTCTTCCTCCCAGAGACTCAACCTACCTCTGTCTTCCTGCCATTACAAATGAGATAATTATTGTTGCTTGAATTAAAGCTGTGAGCTGTAGAAACGCCCCTTACTCCTCCCTTTGACAGCAGGGAGATGATGGATCATGGAGGCACGAGACAGAGGCTCCCAGTACCCCCACTTAAACCCTTGTCCCCTGCTGAA